GTGGTGTTTGCCGTTACTTCACTTTAACCATTTTCCACTTCTCTTGTGTAAGATCCAAATACGCACCCCTACCCTTACAAAGAAATTTAATATTGCTCTGTCATGTCACTTCTTGACAAATCCTGTTCAAGGCAACCCCTCATTAATAAAAATCATAAAAACTTTCTCTATGGTTCATCCAACATTTTGAAACTATTGAACACCGTCGTCCTGTGTCATGCTCTGTCTCTTCTTTTTATATAAATATTTTGTTTTCAGTTAGGCCTACTGTTCCCAATAATTATCTGGATCCCTCCTAACACTTTCCATCAGTTCTACTATTAATTTTTTTTTCGCCTCATCCTTTTGCATTGGAGCCATTCGTCTTTACTGTAGATTCGGCTTCCGCTTCAAGGCTGTCTACAATTGTTTCGAACAATATATTACTAAAATGACCTTTCACTTCCTAAACTAGAATCTTCTTCTGACTATGGAACCTTTTCTAGTATCCCAAGAACACTTTGTACAAAAACTATCGGTTGTGTTGTACCACCACCATATGTTTTGTACATATATATAATACGTAATCATCATAATTTACTTAGGTAAAGTGGAATATGTAATTATGTCCGACATTATTGCTCGTTTATAGTTGTTCCGTGTTGCTATAAGTGCAGGCCCGTATCTGTCTCTTATACACATCTAGATGTGTATAAGAGACAGGCATTTTCTAGAAAACCCCCTCTTTTCTGGCGAAACCCCCTCTTTAAATTATTTAGACCCATAAAGCACAAAAATCCTCTTGCTTTGGGGGTTTCGCCTATCCCACCGGGGCTTCGACTGTGGACCTCACGCCCAGAAACTCCCCCGCCCCCCTCGAAAGAACCTGGTTACGGGCCTGAAATGGGCCAGTCAAACAATGAACCTAGTGTACTATACACCTTGTTGCTCTTCATGTTTGGTTTACCGTGTTTTTGTGATCGTCTGAATGTGTAAAAATTGAGATTATTAAGGAAGTATTTTCTATGGTGTTTCTTTTTATCCGATTTAGTAGGCCTATATTACGTCCTTAACATGCACGCATGGGGTCGTTTGCAGATCACTAGTGATCTGCAATGATTGTAGTGAATAAATGCCCGAATATTATTATATGAATGATATTGAGGACTCTGAATGATTTTAATAGGCATAATTCGGTTGATAAGCAGACCTTATTACACCGTAGATAAATAGCAGTTATGCAATGGAGACTAGTCAATTAATAACTTTTAATACATGATTTTAACACACGCTGATTGGTTTCATGGTGATATTGTGAGTGGTGATAATGGTAATCGGTAATAAGAATTACATTGTTAAGTAGCAATATAACTATAAGAAGCTTTATTGGTCTATCAGCACATTAGATCTACACAGTACGGTACTGGTTCTACATTGCGTCAACGATATCTGTAATGATTAAAAAAATAATCGATGTGACTTCATACAATAAACAAATAACAAATAGTGACAAATAACAATTGATTAGATTACATTAGGTCTACCTATATATTTATTTTAGCTTGATATGTCCATGTTTTAACAAATCAACTAATTTAGAATGTGTAGATTAAAGTTTCTGTTTCGTATCATGTAATGAAACTAATAATTATGGTACATACACGTGTGCCTTATATGATATTGTTGCCTTGCCTTGTAATATTAAGGGTGGTGCTGCAGCTGATGATGATAACGATGATGGTAATGATGATATTGATGATGATGATGATGATGATGATGATGATGATGATGATGATGATGATGATGATGATGATGATGATGATGATAATTTTTGTCAAACAGTAGCGGAAGCCTTGGAGCTTTTCTCTAATGGTCGTGAGTTCGAGATCAATGCTGGTATAACTCAGCTTGGAACTTTGTCCTTTACTACAGTTTCTTCATTTCACCCAGGAGAATTAATCGGTTCCTGGTAAAAGGAAAACCTCTGTAAAAATGCTAAACATTAGTGTAAATATCAAATTATTTTCACAACACTTACTTTATTTGATTTCAAAACCAATGTGTCAACTACGTTGTAAAATATCAATTGCTCACTAAAATGTAATTGATGTCGTGCCAGAGAACGGTTCTTCGGCACTATAAAAGAATCCGTTTTATGGGGCCACTGAGACTGATAAAAATAAAATACAGATATCTGTACATTGAATCGTTTGAAAGAAAAGTACCTAGAATCCGTTTTTTTTTTTTTAGCTTGTAAAAATACACTCACAGGGTAATAAGTAATTATGTATTTAATATCAACACATAATAAAAGACATTTTGTAGATGGTATGAAGACTACAAGAAGATGATCTTTATTCAAAAATTGGAAAAACCCCTCAAATTTACACCCTTCACTGGATCGTCACTAACACATTAACATTTCTTCCTTGTAACTTGATTAAACTTTCCCGTATGTTTCATTCACATCAACTGACCGGTTTTTGAAATGTCTGGTGTAGACTGTTTGACATTAAATCACTTTAATTGGTCCTCACACGCACACCCCACCGTAGATTGACACTAAATATTAGGAGGTACATCCTTGATATATGGCCTATGCTTCGGCAAAGCACGGAAAAATTCTAAGCATGGGAAGTGACCAAAGTGACGGCCAGAACAAAAACAGTGCAAAAAGATAGGAAAAATATATGCAAAAAAAAAAAAAAAAAAAAAATTCAGAACAAAAACAATGGCATTTCCTAGTATTGCTGGGGAATAATAATAGGCCTAATAATAATAATAATAATAATAATAATAATAATAATAATAATAATAATAATAATAATAATAATAATAATAATAATAATAATAAAAATAGGCCTAATAATAATAATAATAATAATAATAATAATAATAATAATAATAATAATAATAATAATAATAATATCTTGATATTATTATTCGGAAATTTAAGTTTTAGCATACCAACATTAGCATCTAAATATGGACATCGGATATAGGCCTACTTACGGAAACCGGGTACTTTAAATCTTGGGAAACCCCCTTATTGCTTATTTTGCTCATGGAGGAAAGAAACCGTTTCTTTCCTCCATGTTTTGATGACACACCGTAAACGACTTACAGATAAGGGAGTAACTTCATTACGGAACGATATTTAATTGGATGCTCAGATGTGACATCATCACAAAACACCATTGAGTACAGGATTTACAAGTAATGTTACTCCACTCCGAAAAAGAATACAACAAAGTTACACATAATGGACAACCGTACGACGACCTTTGTAACAGAGTTAATGTCAAGTTCGTAAGTACCTTTAAAGTTGGTTTTCTGACTATCTGTTCAAATTGTAGCTTTCAATTATAAATCATGCAAATTAACTGAGCCCAGCACACATTATTGTAGCATTGTCGAATATTGGTATTCTGCTTACAAATACATTAGGCGTATATAATTATATACGCTGATATTCCGTTAGCTCTGTTAGTTACGC